TTAATTTAGATTGGAATTTTATGTATAATGCAAGAAATTATTTCTTATAATAACTTGATTGCAGATCATAATTAAGAATTCTCAAATTCAAAAAGGAAAACAGTTTCAATAGCTTATAAGTGCAGTGTAGAACTTAAAAACCCTACTTTTTATTGCTTGTTTGAGTGAGTGGTTGCAAAATTGATTTTATATTATCTTGATTTCGAAAATAGATTGTTTTAAATGTTAGTTTCGATTGAGAATTTATGGTTGAAAACTGCTATTTTTTTTATGTAAGAGTTAGGGTTCAAACTCTGGTATTGATGTTTAACCTAGCAATTTTGTTTTTTACCAGGTGGGTTAGAATTATACTTAAGAGTCAAATTTTTAAACAAATGTTTATTTTGGAGCAAGCTTTGTTTTTTTATTAACAATGAAACATAACTTTTTTTTTTAAACAAATTCTGTTTCTCTTGAGCAAATGGGATTTTAGATGTTTGAAGTTATTCTTGTTATGCTGTATTGCTGCTAGCATTCAATCTTCTTCAGATACTGAATATTACATTCTTAGTGCCTCCGTGTTTGTTATCATGAGAAGTTTTGGATCTAGATCTTTATGCTTTTACAATTGGATTATGATAGAACTAAAGTATGGATGTATATAACTGCAACTCCCTTGATCTAATTTATATGTATATAACTGCAACTCCCTTGATCTAGTTTATTTGAATGATACGAGTTGTTCAAGTTGCTATATGTTCTTCCATGAATTGGCTTTAGTTTCGATAGCAAGAAATTTGTCCACATCTACTTCCGTGGAATGTTGGAGTCATCTATCAATAATCAATAAAAGGTATGAAATTTTGAAAGTTGAATAGATTTGCTTCTAGATGTGCCTTATTGAAAAACTTTTAGTATCATATTCCTCTTATTGATTTGACAAAATTATTTTAGATGGTTTTAATTGAAGTAATGTTTGGAATCACGATGAGTTTGTTGATATTATAGCTACAGCTTTTGGAAAATCATGATATCTCACTGATTCTGCCAAACTCACTGTTAATTTTAGGTATTCTATTCAGCAATGAAAATACTAAACTGAAGAGTATTCGATGACTTCATTGTCAATTAAGCCCTATGAATGCTGAAGATAAGTGAGAGCATTGTAGATGGTGAAAATCTTTTCCCCTTTTTCTTCTTTCTTCATGCCAGACATGCCTTCAGAACTTCAACGTTAGCTCCCTATTTTTCATGAGGTCTAGAATGGTAAATAGAATGTGTTCCACTAATAGGTGGTATGACCATCAAAAGTCTTGAAGCATTCTCAGAACTATGGAGGATAAATAAGGTATTGTATGATGATAATGCAGGACAGTGGCAGAAACCGATTAAATATTTTGAGGGAATGGCTAGTTGTGGATGGGTAAGTTAATATCAGAAAATCATTAACAGTTAGAACTTAGAAGATTGTTCAATGTTGAGATTAGGTTTGGAAAAGCGAGCCTGGTCCGCCGGACATGCCCGTTTTGTCAGCATTTTTTGCGGTGCATACCAAGATTTTAAGTCCGCACCATCTAGTATGTCTGTCCTGCCCCATTCAGTTTTTTGCGGGTGCGGGCATTAACAAGGATTTTTCGCAATTTTTAGCCTTTAGTAGTGCAAAACCCGCATTTCAGCCCCATCCCACCCTTAATTTTTTGCGGGCTTTTGCGGGGCTGGCCTAAACGTTCGTTTGCCACCCCTAGTTGAGATACTGAAACAATGTTCAGATTTGCAAGGTAAAAGAGCATATCTTTTCCTTGAGTTGATAAAATCAAAATTTGGTATGTTACTTGGGGAGAACACTTCTAAAGTGAACGTGCCTCTAAAATGAGCAAGTGAGCATATATAACCATACATGTTTGGGTTAGAGGCAGACTTGCATTAGCAAAGCTTTTTCCTGTATATATATAAGTTACAGTAAGTTAAAAGAAACTTTCTGTCTTTGAATCACAGATATGTCTAATAAGTATCCAAGGGTATATGTAACCTTCCTTTAAACCCTAGCTATCAAGGGGGAGGAACCAAGCCACTTAAATACACTGAGTATCCCTAACTACTCGATGAGATACTTGGGCATCCCGTAATGCCTAAGTTTCTATCATAGCACCGCCCCTAGAGCCAATGTCCTGGTGGCTGACTCTTCGGCGCTTTACTTGGCCTTATCTAGTTAGCCCCTCCATACTGAGCCATTTTCGAGCCACTGGCACTAAGCATCTGAGAACTTGGCAAACCCTCCTTTATAAGCTAGCTATCAATGGGGAGGAACCAAGCCACTTAAATACACTAAGCTGTAGCTATAATTATAGAAACAGTATGAAAGCAAGTTATTTGTTTTTTGTATTTCTTGCTTTTGTGCTATGCACCAAGATATTAACCAATGAACAGGGGATTATATAAAAGACTATTCTATCTTTGACATCTGTTACCTCAATTGACAAAAGGATTATAGAACTGATAAGGTTAGAGCAATGGTGGGGGAGCTACCTCTTAAAGAAGCTTGCTCCTCCATTGATCACAAATGTTTCTAACAGAAAATTATAGTCATAAGATTTCTTTCTTCAACTTATAAGTTGTTCCTCTATTTGGAATATATTGACTATTTCAAAGTTTCTTCTCATCATTCTTACCCATTTTGTGTTATTGAGATATGTAACTCAACTTCTGAACACGTTACCATGTTTTATTTCTCCTGTAAATATATCAATCATTTACATACAAGTAAAGAAGAGTTATGATACTTTTATGCACTTCCATATACATCACTTTGATTAACTATCGATCTAAACATATTCAAGCAATATAATCTACATATGCTAAACCACCTAACTACTAGTTAATGGTGATTCCTATCAAATCACTGTTAGTTTAGTGGTTAACTATATGTAGATCATTGGTTAAACAAAGTGAAGTATGAGTTGCATTATTCTCCTGTAAGAAGTCATCAATGTTCACAAGTATAACATAGCCATCAATTGCAAATGTGCACTTTTTTTCCTTTGATGTTCAGAGTATATAAAAGTTGACATCTTACTATGCATTAACAGTGCAAATATGCACAGAAAGCCAATTCAATAAAGAGAGATACCATAAACAATGTTATACTACTGTATCAAGTTTTCATGCATTTGAAAAACAATATGAATATGAAATAATGCAATTTCTTTTGTGTGGAAGTTACTTTTCTCTTCTGATTACTTATTCCATGGCTTATAAACAGCTAGTACTATAAAGGTGGCAATGAGCAGGATCAATATAATGGCAATCATCATGCATTTTCTTGACTTCTTTTGCAGACTCTTTGCAATGTGAAGAGAGTCGTTGCCCGATTTCACATGATCAGTTGCATTTACCACCTGGTTATATCAGAATATGATTTTGTCAGCACAAAAATGATTACTAGTGTGAAAAAATGAAGGAATTAATGTAATATATCAAACAAACTAATAATTTACAAACATAAATAACTGATATGACTATATGTAAGTTTTTAGTTGTCTATATTATGTTTGATGGTAGGAAAAGAAAATGATTTTATACGAAACTAGTTAAAAGCCCGTGCTTTGCGTTAATCTGCAAAACAAATTGATTATTTCCAGCCAAAAATAATGTTCTAAACAGGTGAAAGAAACATAGATAGACCATCTGTGGTAATGCAATACATGTTGGATTGTTCAAATGGTATAACCTATATGAAGCATGGACATTCCAAACATGAAATTATACGAAGTTATAAGTGTCGGTGTAGGTGTCAGACATGTATATGGACACGTTATTTTTCAAAGGTGTCGGTGCTACATAGGGTATGGACACGTTATTTTTCAGAGGTGTTGGTGTGGGTATAATCAAGAACTTCAATGGTTCTCATATTGGGTTACTTAAAGTGGACTCGGTTTCTGTTTATCCTTTCATCCAAACTAATGGAAACTAGAACAGATAGATAGTTGTATCAAATTGTAAATTGAAAAATAAAACTGAAATGAACTAGAAAATCAAGTGGATTCCGAAAATCAAGTAGATTCCACTAGTCATATAGGACTCTCACATGAACATCAACTTTTTTTTTTTTTTCCATTTCTAATGGGCTAATAATTAATAGTTTTTTTTATAACACTAAGACATAATCACATTTACATTGTCAATGTAGTGTAAAATACCAAAATAGAACATGAAAAGTTCAAATCCTCTTCATTTTTTATTTCTTAAAATGAACAAAATAGAACAAAAGTCTTTTTTTCTTAGATTCCACCTAATATAATTGAACCATACACTGGTAAAATAATCAAGATAACTTTTCCATTTTTTTTAACTCTTTGAATAATTGAAAACAACTCGTTAAATGGTCACACATTAAAGCTAATAGTTATATGTTGATAAGCAAATGACTTTTTTTTGAAAACGGTATGCAAACATCCTACAAACAGTAAGATGGCAGTGTATGAAGAACATTGAAGTTGTAGGTGGTTAAAAAAATTCAGAAGTAATACATATCAAAGAACCAAATATGTTAGTGCATATTTGGAACCACAATAGATTTTTCAAAATCACACCATCGTGATTCTGTCAACCTCATTGTGAATCCAAAAATACACTAAAAGTGAGTTCTATTAACTACATATGGAACTTAGATTGACCTTATAAAGAGGAACAAAATCGGTGAAACCAGCTTTAGAAGAAAAACAGAAATTCAAATATTTGTCACAAGCAAATGACAGCAAAACCAGCTTTAGAATGGTACAATACACAGTGATAAGAGGCCTGATAAACATTTGTGGGCTACAAAGAATAAGAATTTCATATTGTGACACACACCGATGTATTACTAAGTCAGAAGACAATCACACCACACAAATCAAGCATCATAAAAAAAATGTCTTAAAAATCCTGTTCTATGATGTTCCCGCCGACACATGCGAATGCTTTCGCAACCAACCAAGCCAACACAACTCTTATATATGGACAACAGACAAAGGGACTCAGACTCAAGCACCCTTGTTACTCTTCCAAGGTTTGATAACACCGACAACTATGATAGCTACTATTATTAACAGGATCACGATGGCAATGCACATCCATTTTCGGGAATTCTTCTGGAGTTTCTTAGCACTTTGAAGTGCGGTTGTCCCTCTCTGGACATGATCTACTGCATTGTTGACCTGAACAAGCCTCTTATTAACGCAAATTGAACTAAACACGCGCTGCATTCTACATACAATCACATATATATACAGAAAAATCAAGGATGCGAGAACATGAACAAACCTGGCTTTCAATGTTGTCTAAAATTTCTCCTTGAGCATCAACTAAAACTGCCATGTCGAGGTAAATCTGAGAAATAATAACAAAGGATTAGACATACTATTATTACTGTCGTTGTCGACTAAATAAGCATTGAACAACAATATGTTCTTGCAAGTAAACCTGATGTAAATCAAGAAGTTTTTTCTCGATTTCTTTCACAGCATCGTGTCTCTCCTGAATTTCTTCTACCGTGTTCACTACCTGCAACGACCCATATTTTCTGAATCAAATTTTGATTTTAACAAATTTTGATTTTCCACGCAAGCAATGACAAATAAAGAATAATAAATCAAGTACCTGTCCTCGGCCAGCTTCAAGGATTGCCTGTTGGAAGATTTGCTCGCTGTTTCCAGTTTCTATCAGGTGGTCAATCGTCTAACATAGTCATTAAACAACGAGTCACACCAAAACTTATATTTATCCGATATCTCAGATCAAGTAACAAATTCATGAATCAAACTCACCTCATCGTCTGGCCTAGTTCCCGTGACTGTAGAATCAAGCCAAACAATCACAAAGTTAAAAACACAAGGACATGACGACTATATTATAACACTTCCGGTAACAACACTGTTAACTTAATCGAGGGAGTAAAACGTTCAAACCTGTAATAACTCGTCTCTCCACAACCTCACGATATTCATCTTGTATTCTTTGTCTCAGAGTCTGCAACGTAAACATTGATGATAAGATAGACATAAATACGTAAAAACAGCTTCTAGTGTTAGGTGGTTCGGATTAAAATACCTGAAACTCTGTCATGAGATCCCTGAATTTTTTGGTCAAGGAACTGCAATGACAAGGAAAAGTAGATATTTCAGCTTCTCGGAAAGTTTTATCAAGTAAACTAATAAAGATATGTGCTATAAATTTACTTTGTCATATTCATCCTTGCTCTATCGATACCAGTTCCCTTCTCACAGCCAGGCTTTTGTCTATTGTTCAGATTCTGCACACAAAAAATGTCCCGATTAAATAACTCCTTTACGCATAACACGTCTGAAATATATATAACAAACCGACATATACTAAAAAATTATCTATCTAGGATCCCCTTACTTCTCGGTTGATAGCTTCGATTTTCGCTTTGACACCATATGCAATCTTTCCAACTTCATCGATATCTTTCTCCATCCTCTTCTTGATAGCTGAAAATGACGTAAAAGGTCTATTTAGTCAACTTGAAGTGATTTTAACTAAAAACAATACGGAAATTGCGTATAAACAATACCCTTCATGGAAGATGCCTTTGTAACAGCTTTTGACTCCTCATTAGCTTCCTGCAAAAAGTGCATTTAGCAACAGCTATAGACGAAACGGTGCTGCTGCAAAATACTTAATGATGAAGATAATGGATACCTTTAGCTTTTGAAGTAGCACAGATAGCTTCTCGATTTGTTTATCGGCGTCTTGGATCTTATAAAGAAATAAAGAAATTTCAGTAACTTAGGATATTCAATTTACATACTGAACAAAAACAGCTTGAAGCAGCAAAACTTTTCGGATTTACATGTGTTCGGTTTCACAGTAGGAGGAGTCAAACGTGATTCCATAACACATAAATGACATTTCAGATCTGAAGCTAAACTTTGAAAACCCAACACAGTTCCAAACATATATGCAAAATTGATTTTGACATGTTTGAGCAATGTTGATTGGAATTGATTTCGCCTAAAAATATAATTCTAACTTGAAGTTAAAATTGGTAGATTTTGACTAAAACTAGGATTTTTACACTAAATTTTATTCTAACTTGAAGTTAAAATTTGTAGCTTTTGACTAAGGGAAAGTGAGTTGAACACTATATTTCAGCGTAAAAATCATGTTCAGACTCAAAAGCTACAAATTCTAGTTTCAAGTAGAATCAGTTATGAAAAACAAAATCAATTCTAGTCGAGATCAACCAAACATGTCAATTCTACACATCAGGAATCAATCCAGAATCAATTCTAAGTGACTGTATCCAAATACAAACTTCATAGAATCATATTCAACTTACTTTTAACTAAAATCAATTAATTCAAAATCAATTTCTGTAACCGCATAACCGAACACACAAACACAAAACCCCAAATTAACATTTCAACCGATAAAAGATTGAAAAGAATCAAATAGCAAGTACATAGTGCACCTGTTTATTAAAAGCTTCCATTCCCATATCAGAATTGCTTCCTGGAACCTGCATTCCCATTTCAATATCACCTTGTCTAGAAGGCTGGCCATTAGTAGCCTCACCAACAAATGAATCCTGCCACAACAACAACAGCAAAAAAGGGTAAAAAAACTATCTTTACACTTTGATCTCAAGAAACAATAACATGATACTTTACTCAATCTAAGTCAAATCAAAAACCCAAAATTCAAAACCACCCAAAATCTACATAGGGATTAACTATGATCTATAAGTTAACGCACAAACCGGAAAATTCTCCAATCCAATAGTGATAAAATCAATTTAAATTTTTAGATGAACCCAGGATTCAAAGCTAAAAACTGAACCTTAGCAATTAGAGTATCAAATCTGAGAGTGGAATAGATGAAATTCGGAAAAACCCATGATCAAAATTGAATTTTTGGGTGAAGAGAGGGAATTAGAGATATGAACTTACAGTAAGAAGGTCGTTCATGTTGAATTCAGAGAGAGAGAGAGAGAGAGGGGAATGTCCAAAGAAGAGACTAAAACGGCAACAATAATTCTGTAAAACGACAGCGAAGTTGTGCCAGGGAAAACGAGGCAACCCACGAACTCTCTCTCAACAACAATGCCTTTTGTTTTTGTTTTTTCGTTTGTTTGTTTTACCTTTAATTTTATTTTGAAGTATAAGAGGCTTTGTTGTCTTGTTTAATGTTTTCAAATTTCAATAAATTAATTTTTAAATATGTTGAGTAAATAAATATCCAATGTAGTGTTTGACTTTTTGACCAAAAGAAAAATACCTAATGTAGTTGCTTTTTGTAAAAATATTTTCTTGGGTCAAAATTACAAGAAGGGCTTTACGGATATTCATGAATATCCACACATACTATTTAAATATTTTATTAAAAACAATATGATTAATTAAATTTTTTTTATTCCTTTTAAATTTTAAATATTTTTATGTGTTTAGTTCTTTTGAAAATATTTGATCACAATATTTTTCATCTAAACAAATTATTTGAGAACATTCAGTAACTCAATAAATGAGTAGATAATGCGTCAACATATAATGTATATGTTTTGTTAAACTAATTTTTTTCAATTACAAGAAAATGAGTTTAATTTTACGCCGTCTTATTTATTCACTTTTAAAGTGAAATTTTAACTTAAAAAATATTTGTAATAAGTAATTGTTGAAAACAATTTTTAATAATTAATTAGCTTATCATCTTATGATAATGAAAAGAACAATACAAATTTACGTTATATATGTTAGAGTAAAATTTAATTCAAACTTGTAAAATTAGTGAATATTTCACACCTAAACTTATGTTAGAGTAAAATTTAATTCAAACTTGTTAAATTAGTGAATTTGACACCTATAACACTTAAAATAAAAATAAAAAGGCAGTATACAAAAATTTCCGAGATGACCTTTTGGGAGATGATTGCGGAAGAAATATATTGGCTAATGGACTTTAATATGAATCTAATTTAACCCTTGGATTGTAATTGCAAGCTAAAATCAACTAATGAAAAAAAAGTTCCCTGCCCTATTACTTTTTCTCTAGAGACTCCATTTTTTTTTATCTTTAAAATAAAACCTCTTTAAAGATGTAAAACTTATAACATAAGAGCTCATAAATTAAGTTTAAAATAAAAATAATATTTATATACATATTTTATATTTTAATAAGATTAAAAAAAATCACGATTTAAATAAAAATAATTTCACCTTTTTATACAAAACTGATTTTACTGAGATCAGAAAGACAATCAGCAGCCAGCAATATGTCGTGAGCTCCAAATTCGCCTGTGATAGAGAAGAAGAGAGTGTGTACCTGCAAGACAATCTGATGTCAAAGTGAGGTTTAGAGTGAAAGAGAGAGCAAGTACAAAGTAAGAATGAATTTAGAATACTTTACCCTCCTGTAGAGGAGGGTATTTATAATATGCCTCCAACGCTGGGTCAACGATCATCTGTTGTGGGCTGGATCGTCAAGCCCACAACGGATGACTGCCAAGATCCTGCGTGGAAGTGGGAAAGACCAGCATGTGGTCTTCGTCCTAGGTCAACTGCCCCACGAACTTCGGGAAGTGAATGACTTGTTCTTAAAGGCGTGGGTTCAGTTGTGAAGGTGAGAAAATACTTAGAAGGGGGGGGGGGTTGAATAAGTATGACAAATAATCAAAGATTCAAACACAATTATTTTTATCCTGGTTCGTTGAACTCAACTACTTCAGTCCACCCTCTCAAGAGTGATTTGCCTTTCTCAGTCAAGGACTTAATCCACTATTTAATCAAACAGATTATAATAGTAACACCTAAGAACAACTGTTCTTAGTCTTCTCAAGAGCTACTGATCCCAACTGGATCCTCTTAAGGAAACCTTTTACAATCAATGTAAAACTATTACAAGAGTAAGAATGCTTCTAAAAAACTATTATCACAACTGTGATATTTCTCTTAAGTTTAAGAACAATGTTACAGCAAAAAAATATAAGAGCTTTTGAGAGATTTGCTTTTATAAGTGATTTTTTGCAAGAGATTCGTCTCTGAAGAAGATGGAGTGGACTTCTTTATATAGGCACTTAGATCCATGAAGTCTTCTCAACGTTGGAGGCTGTGCTGAAAAAGTCTGGTGCCTTTTGTCTTTACGTTGGAGGCTGTGCTGAAAAAGCCTGGTGCCTTTTGTCTTCACGTTGCAGAAACTTTCCTTATAATGGAATGCACAGATAAAACATTTTTGTCTGTGTTCTTGTGTCTAGCATAAAAGAGGAAAGAGCTATTGAGATATGCCAATAGACATATTCAAATCTTCTTCACTAAGTAAGTTCAACTATCAACATCAGAGTCTGGATCTTCAGAATCTCTAGAGTAGAGATCTTCTGGATCTTCAGAGTCTTGGGATGTTATTCAGAATGCTGAATCAGAGTATATGCAGCTTGTGTGCTTGAGCGTGTAGTTCTGTCAGACCAGAGTCTTCTATATCAGATTCTCAATACTATGCAGCGCAGTATCTTTAGAGTCTTCTGATGACTAAGCTTCTGAACTCTCAGAGTCTTCTATTCTTTAGAGGCTTCTGCTTCAGAATATTCAGTAGACAGCACTCAGATTCTTCTGGAGACAACGTTCAGATCTTCATTTAAGATGCTCTTGAACCTTTGAAGCCTTTCATAATATCATTGTTCAGATCCAAATTTTCTCTTTAAGAATATTTTCTTTAGTGCCTGTAGCAAACAGTCTAGAACAAATTTAGAGTATATAATTCTTGAATACAAAATTCATAAGTGTTATCATCAAAACATAGAGATATTACTAAGAAACAATCTGTGTTCTTACAATCTTCCCCTTTTTGATGATGACAAAACATGAGAAATTTTGTTCAATAAAAAGTATGAATTATAACTCCCCCTGAGATTAACAATATCCCCCTGAAATGAATACTCTAATAGAAGAAAACACTTCCCTTTTTGATTAAGTATATTTCAGATTCAGAGCCTGATGCAAGAGGTTTGACTTTCAGAATCAAATCTTGATGACAGATAATTATGACTTCCTTCAGTCAGAGCGCCTGGTTATCATCTTGCTTGAATTATTTTTCAGAGTAAAGGTATCAGAGTAAGATATCAGAGTTGATTGAATACTCAGATTTGCTTTGGAAGATCAGGTTCTGGTTGGAAAAGTCTCAGGGTAACTTCAATGAATTATGTCAGATATATCAATGTAATCTGAAAGACTTAAATTCAAAGTAAGTTAATAAAATGTCTGAATTTCAGTTTTAGTAATTGCTTATAGGTTGAACAATCAGATTCTCTTTTTCTCCCCCTTTTTGTCATAATCAAAAAGATTTTTAAAGACATAAAGATACAGAAGAAAAGAAGCATATAGAAGCAAAAACATCAACTTTCATTTAAACAGATCAGAGTTCACAATCAAACAGAGTCACAAAAGAACAGATAGATGCCAAAAAGCATAACAAAACAATAAGAAAACAACAGAAGCAATAACATGTGCAAAAACACATCAAATAAAACTAAGTCTAGCGTGAGGCAATAAGGGTCAGAAGCTCTGCCATTTTGGCTGTTGACTCTTCTTGCTTAGACATCCAGGTCTTAATCTCATCAGTTGTCTTCTCTTGCTCTAACTTTTAAAGCAGCTTTATTGAACATCCAGATGAAACATTTCCAAGAAGCATTTGAAACAACCGGATCCAAACTTGACAAGCACACTTCCTTAACACGAGCATACTCAGAATCTATCTCCTTCTTGAATATTTCAAACATAGTGTTAACACATGATCCTAGATCTGAATGTTCAGAGGGTTTAGGATTAGGAGTGTTAACAGGAGTAGGTTCAGATGGTTGTGGTTGAGGTGGTGTTGGTTGAGATGTTTGGGTGTTAGACTGAGGGAGTTCAGTTGGTTGAGGAATGGTTTGGGTTTCAGATAGATGGGTTTCAGATGGTTGAGGGATGGTTATCTGAGGTGGGGAGTTGGGTGGAGTATGAGTTTCAGATGATGAAGCTTGAAACATAGAAATGTTAACGTGTTCCTTCATAGCAATGTCAGAACGAGCTTGTTTGAGAGACTCTGGTTCAAAATCAGATGATTCACAATCAGAAGATTCTTCTGAGTGAACAGATGTTGAAGAAATGTTAATGGATTGATTCAGGGGTTGGATATCCAGAATATCTTGTTGTGGAATTTCTGGTTGTGGAATTTCTGGTGAAGTAGGTTGAGGGGGTTCAGATGTAGTATGAGGTTGAGGGTCAGAGGTTGTTGGTACAGAAGATGGTTGTGAATGTACTGGGGGAGATGAAGGTGGTTCAGATGAAAGGTTTGCAGATGGTTGGGGGTTAGAAGTTCTATGTCTAAGGGTTGGAGAGAGTTGAGGTGATAGAAGGGGTGAATGAACAGCAGGGGTAGGATCAGATGTTAATACTTGATGAATAGTGTCTCTTATCTCTTCCAGAGTAGCATCTCTAGAATTGATTCTGACTTTCTTTACTCCTTTCTTCTTCTTCCTTGGAACTTCAGATTCTTTCCTTTTCTTCTGAACAGAGCCTTCTTCAACTTTTCTCTTACTACGCCTTTCCTTCATTAGATTGGGAAATTCTTCTCCTTGTTTCTGAACAAGGTTAGCAGGTAGAGGAATTCCATTCTTCAGACAATCTGCAATGTAAGCCCAGACAATACCTTTTGGTTCATCTGCGCTGAACATTGGAAAATCTTCTATTGGTATCCTTCTGCCATTGACCTCCTCAGAGTTTATCTTCCTTAGTTTACCATTCAGCTCTGAAATGATCTTCATTCTTTTCAGAGTAAGTCCGTTTATCTCAGATCCAATGATGTAGGACAGATCCTCTGTCATTTTTGCATCTGTTAGATGCTTCACCAACTGATTCTCTGTAAGGATGTCTGAAATAAGTCTTCCCAGAGGTATCCAAGTTCCAACTTTCCCAGCTTTAGCTCTGACCTCTTCTCTAGT